GGGATGCACCAGAGAATTGTGGGACACACTGTTTATTCTGTTAATTTCCATTTATTACCAATTTGACCGACAAGCTTCTGTAGTTAAAGTCAACTTCTGTCATTCCTTTTATAATAATTTTTTTTCACAATTTACTGTACCTGTAGTTAAAAGCAAATTGTGTCTATTTGGATCAAAATAAACATAAAAAAAAAAATTAAAATGTGCAAAATTTTGGCTGGGAAAAAATTTAAAGAGTTGCACTCACCTGGAATAATTCAAAAGGTGTTGTTTTATCCGGATTTATCCAGATGGCATTACCAGCTGATTTTCCCAATTTATCCCCTTCTGTGGATGTAACCAACGGAATAAGAATGCCTGTCAAGGAAAAGATGCTCAAATATTGCATTTACAAATTCATAATACAGTAACAGGGAAACAGTTCTTTTCACCGTTTGGTCTTTGTTACAAGGAAAATCCCTCATGAAATTTTAATTTAATTTGCCCACAAACTTTTTGGGTTACTTTGCTAAATAGGCAAAAAATTTAATCAATACCAAAAAAACACAACCTCCCCAGCGGTGGTAATAATTTTCGTTTACAGTATGTCCATTTTGCTGATTACTGCAAAGCAGTATTTACTTTATTAGAAGCATTTGCATAAATGACAGAGATATTTATATGTATATGGTAATGTTTTATTAAAATTTATATACGCTTCTATTGATGATGTCCATAAGGTATGTCTGTAAATAGTGTTGAAATAAACATTGCCAAATAGCAGTTAGTCCCAGACAAGCATTCCACATCTGAGTAAAAAGTATTTTTCTCACCGTAAGTTTCTTTACCAGTCACTCGATGTATTAAATCATGTCCCGCCATAATATTACCAAGCTGATCAGTGCCACCAAGCTGATAAATAAAATGAATATTTATATCTTTTGAATTCACACAGGATATATTCTATGAACTTATCAAATGTTTTCACTGATGAACCGATGCTCATGTAAAGTACAAGTAACAAAAGTGACCTAATAGTCGACATAGCTCTGCTAATGCACATTCACAGCACCACCCACATTTTAGTTCTGCTTGTTTACATACCTACATATCAAATTTATAAAAAATCCATTGTGTGAGTAGTTTTCAAAATGTTAAAAAACAGCATTTGTTTTTTTTACAAAAAGTAACAAAAATATTAGCTGGAAAATAAAGAATTGAATTTAAAACAAATTTGATACAGGTTTACCCACGATATTTGTAAAGCATCAATGCAATTGGTGTGGTTGTACCAGTGGCAGAGCAGCCATCAATGTTAGTGGCAAGGGCATCTGTAATTTTTTTGTAGTGGCTGATGGCAGTGCAACCATCAATGTTTTTTAGTGGCTGGTGGCAGTGCAGCCATCAATGTTTTGAAGTGGCTGATGGCAGTGCAACCATCAATGTTTTGTAGTGGCTGGTGGCAGTGCAGCCATCAATGTTAGTGGCAAGGGCATCTGTAATTTTTTTGTAGTGGCTGATGGCAGTGCAACCATCAATGTTTTTTAGTGGCTGGTGGCAGTGCAGCCATCAATGTTTTGAAGTGGCTGATGGCAGTGCAACCATCAATGTTTTTTAGTGGCTGGTGGCAGTGCAGCCATCAATGTTTTGAAGTGGCTGATGGCAGTGCAACCATCAATGTTTTGAAGTGGCTGGTGGCAGTGTAGCCATCAATGTTTTGTAGTGGCAGTGCAGCCATCAATGTTTTGAAGTGGCTGATGGCAGTGCAACCATCAATGTTTTGAAGTGGCTGGTGGCAGTGTAGCCATCAATGAATGTTTTGCAGTGGCTGGTGGCAGTGTAGCCATCAATGTTTTGTAGTGGCAGGTGGCAGTGCAACCATCAATGTTTTGAAGTGGCTGATGGCAGTGCAACCATCAATGTTTT